ATATCACGATCTCATCAGGACCGTGTTCCCAAGGGAAACTACCCGAGGGTATAAAATAGGTGTACTCCCTAGGCAAGTAAAACTGGGTAATAAAGGAGTGAAGCCCCTCAGACGTCATGGTCGAGGGCCCAAACTTGTCTAACGTCCGACCTCGACGGGAGGAGGACGCCAAGCTACCCGAGGCGATTCGGCCTATGGGTTCGAACTCTTCCTCGAGCTCTACCTCAGGTTCACTAGGGCTGTTGGGGGATGCAGCTCGGTTCATAGAACCTGCATCTGACCCACTCAAAGAACTGTCTGAGCTATCCGAGCTAGACATCGGGAGGAGAAGGATCAAGAAGAAAGTAGACTCACCCGGAAAGAAGGCAAACAGACTATAGAAACTTGGACGCGAGCTAAAGATTTGGGCGCGAGCTGAAACTTGGACGCGAGCTCAAGAAGCAAAACGCAGGAGTGACAAAGCGACTGGGGTCCCCCACTATTTATACCCACAGTAACCAAAAATCAACGGTTATGATCAAAGCAAATCCAACGGCCCGCAGTCACGCTGAACGCACGTTTCCTGAGACCGAGACATGACTGGTCGCACGTCTCCTGAGACCGAGACGTGATTGGCCGCACGTCTTTTGAAACTGAAAGAGCACCAGCACACGTCGCCTCGCATTAAAGGCAGCAACGGCGCATTTTTTCAAATTTGAAAAGATGCCCGTTGTCACGTCTCCCAGCGGCGCACTTTTTAAATTTTGAAATAAGCACGCACTGTCACGTCTGTTAGCATTTATAGACGGATTGGCCCGTTTTCCCGACTTTTTGGCATTTGAGAAACCCGGAAGAATCCTGACGAACGCGCACTTCGTGCTATCAATCAACCAATTCGAAGTACGGGACAAATCCACCCGCCACCTCGCGAACTCCCCGCGCCAGGGCAAGTCCCTTTGCGCGAGGAGTGGGGGGCAATTGATGAAGGAAGATTTGGCCCGACCTCGTAATCACTCAACACGTGGCAAAGGCAACAACTCGGCACAACAGCACGCCCAAGGCGCGAGCTCCGAAGGGAGGAACCAGCGGTCCGAACTCCTTACAAGGAAGCCCGAACTCCCCGTAAGGAGCCCGAGCTCTCCCTTAGACCCCGAGCCTTACCAACACAAAGGGCAACAACCCGAACTGGCCTGTCCCATGGCAGTTCGGGCCACAACCTCTATCCGAACTCAGGACTTCACCTCGCACACCACTCCAGCACTTCACCCCCAGGACGCCGAACTGAATAACCGCACCGTACCTGACACCGAAGGAGTCCGTATCCAGGGGCAGCACACCTGACTAACTTGGGATTTGACGCTTGACAGCCGCACTTCAACGGCCACCTGCCACCACCATCTCCAGTTACAGAGACGGCTCCGACAAAGAGAGCAGTGGTGGTTCTGCCCCAGCAGAGGTGATGACACCCGAACTGGCAAAAGCGCAGAGGTAATCATACCCGACCTGACAGAATCTTAGGAATGARTGCGCAAAGTAGTTATAAAAGGCTCTCTACCCCCCAAGTCTGGTTTCATCTTGCCTTTGAGGAAATACTAACTTGAGCTTCGGAGCATACTCACCGGGTTCTTCCCCGGAGATTACTCTCTTTCCCCTCATTTCAGGCACCTTCTGCTCCAGCCCGAGGCAAGATCTTTGACAGCTAGGACCCGCCGGATTGCGCACCATCAGGAATCTTTATATTTCTCCATAGATTTTAGCGGCAAATAAACGCAGTTTTTTTCTCATCACATATAATGTCCATAAATTATGAAAAACGAAAAGAAATTAAAAACAAAGTAGCAAAAACTGAAATAGAAAAGAAACCAGAAGCATTCCCGCCGGGCGGCCAGCCGGATTCATGGCAATACGACGGGAAAATCTCCTTCCACCGCCGAGGAAATTGATGCAAATTATAAACAAAGAAAATGGGCTTCTGATAACGTGCACCAAGAAGGCCGGTACATGTTACCTTCTCGCTAAAAATCTCATCTTTATAATATATTGACAATGAGTCCAGAGAGAGAAAGAGTGAGAGTGTAGTAATACCTTCAGGGCTAGCTCTGACGATTTTCCGACCAAACCTTACAGAAACCAGTGGTTTCTCGGTTGGGAAGGAATATTCCGTTGGAACCTCCGTCGAATTCCTCCGCTGCGGAGTCCAAGTCGATCTAGAGATACAAAATCATCCTCGTCATACTCCTCCGGAGCTCTCGTTAGAGGAGTTTCAATTTCCGGATGATCGCCGGTTGTCGTTGTAGGTCACCGGTAACGGAAAAGGAGAAGAGAACTCGGGTGAAGAGAGAAGAACGAGGGGTCAAGGGACCGGCTGCTCAAGCACGCGGGAGGTTTTGAGATTTGAAATCGGTTTTGCGATAAGCTAACTGCGTGCGAAGGGACAGATGGCGGACGTTCGACATGTGGGGCATTTGTGGGGCGAGAACCTGTGGGGCGCAGATTTGAACTCCTTAGAAGGGGTGGACTGGATGCAAACGTATTTTTTTTTTGCACGAAGTGATTGCTCTCAAACTCGAAACCCGGTTCTCATGCTGTTATGTGATTTTAACATTAAACCAAGTTATGGATTCTATTATAAGCATTGATGAACAATTTGTCAAAAAAGATTTTCCTAAAGTTTTATTTATTTTTAATTCATTTTGAATTTTGGCTTTGAAATGGATGAAATTTCCAAAAATTATGCTTTAGCCCAAATCCAGTATAAGGGTCATTTACTTGGACACCCCTATAATTTCACATATTACTGAAACCTATTATCTAATTTACATACTACTAAATCACCCCTATAATTTACAAGCGCTATACTAAATTGACCTTCCCTCAAGAACAGTTTGTATTTTCATCTGGGAATGATCACGTGACCTCTTAAAAATAGAAGAAACGCAAAAAGACATGAGGTCCGGGGTTTTTAATTTCAATAATAACCCTATCAGGTTTATCCAAACCAAGTTATAATGTGGGGGGGGGGGGGGTTTGGTTTTAAAAAGGATGATATAAGAACTGGTCATGCGACCATTTTAAAAAGTCATACGACCATCAATAAGTAAATTAGAGGATTGGTTTTAATAAGTAAGTGAAATTATAGTGAGTATCTAAGGCGGTGTTTGAGAGAGGTGTTTTTTCAGAAAACAGTGCTGCATAAGCATAGCTTTTTCTCAGGTTTTTTATTTGATACTATTGCTGTTGCTGTTATATGCATTTTTTCAATGCCATGTCAACATGCTGAAACGATATTTTCTCAGATCACACCTCTCCCGATTTTTAAGGCGTGTATGACAAAACATTTTTCTAAGAAACGGCTAAACAAACAGCAGAAGCTTTTCCAGAAAACAAATTTCTGATGTAGTCCTGATGTAACGCCATTTTCAAAAAAACGACATTGGTGCCAAATACCTGACAAGTGAATAACCCTTTAATGGGCTTCTTTGGTATTATCAAAGAGAAAATTGACAACAACATGATCGCGGGTGTGAAAAGGTACCTAACATAGTGATTTTTCTTAGTCGTCTCCTGCATAATATCATTAGTTGTTAAGAACATGCAAGTTACAATCGAAGTCGCCTTGTTTAGCACAACCTTGAGGTGACCTCTCCTCAGCTCTATGTGTGACACACACCTAGAGGATTGATATTTGATACCCACCATCTAATCTAACAGGTCATAATTGAAACAACTAGTGAAGGCACTAACGAGATTAATTAATTAACTGTCATCCAGCTAATTTTAAATTGTTTCTAAGCTCTAATACTATCTTTTCCACCACTTTTTTTTTTTTTTAATTAGTGTGATCATATTATCATGTTGATGACATTTTTTTGTGAAGTATTATTTAAAGTGGTATCCTGTGAGTTGTGGGCCTATATGGACACTAGCTTAGTGGGTATACCTCATGGCTCCTAATGCAAAGAGGACCCCCATGGAAAGCTACCCTTTAAAATAGGGGATATCTTATAGTCGATTCATACCCACTACAATTGACTTTGGAACTTTTCCACAGCCCTAAATAGTAAATATACACCATGCGAGAGAGAAAGAGATGTGGGGTTGGAAGGTTCATCTATTAATATATGCTCGATATGCAAACATTGCATATTGTGAGTTTACATCTGCGCCCCACAACGTCCCACAGTACATTTCTGCCATGTTTTAGGAATATCTCTCGATGATAGTATCAGAACCTATGATGTCATCATCGGGAGACGTTTCCAATACATGGCAGGGCTGTATTGTGAGACGAGTCTGGATCTCTTCCCCATGAGAATTCTGCCCACATTTATCACAGCCACACATGGAGAATATCTCATCCTCTGCATAGTATTATACAGGGGGAGATGTTCCCAATTCACTGGGGGATAGTGTATTGTGGGTGGGCGTGGGCAGAATTCTCATGAACAGGAGATCTGGAGTCCTGTGGGACATTATGGGGCACAGATCTGAACTCAGCATATTGTGTGATTCAAAAGGGGCAATACTCTTAGAGTTTTTTTTTTTAATTTTAATTTTCAAGAATCCCGCCAGGACATCTTTAGGAAGGGTATTAACCTTCAAAGTAGTTACATGTCCCAACTCCTAGTATTTAGAGTCCGGATTTGGTCCCAATATAGGGTCCCAACAACCAGTTCCAACGGCTATTGCAGCTGTACATTGGGAATATCTCACCATAAAGGACGAGGGAGATGCTTCCCATGCAGTTTGCAATGGCTGTTGGGACCGGTTGTTGGGACTGGATCCGAATATGTTGTGATACTTTGAATCTTGGTTGGGTCCTAGGCTCTAGAGGAAACAAATTTCATTTCATTCTCAAATGAGAGGAAATTAACCAACCTATATATGCACATCAATCACTTGGATAAAGAAAAATCAAATTAATCATGCAATGCATCAATATTTATATAACTTCATTCCTATTTAATTTGTTAAAGAATTCATGTATAGGCTAAAGCTAAGCTATCCAAGATACCCAATAATTATGAAAGACAAACAGATGCCAACAATGAGATGTATATATATGTGGATATATATAGATTTACACCAAAGTAGACTTTGAGTGTGTTCCATAAAACTCCACCAGCTCTACTGATCATAGAGAAGCTCAAGGGCTTTTAGTAATGTGGGTTTAAACCTGCTTACATCAAGCTTGACATTTTGGTTATCCAAGTATAAAGCCCTAAGTAAGGGCCAATTATTCCTATGAACTGAAAAGGGGTCTCTAAAGACTGCATGATCAGGTGGGTACTGTTCTATTAGAGAGCTCTCCTCTTCCTTAATCTTATATTCCAAGTACCTTAGTTTCATATCTAAGGCAGGCTTTCCAAAGTCAGTTTTAGCCAACCAGTCTAAACCAAAAGGAACAATTTGGATTATTATTGCATTAGTAGGAAGAAAAACCATGTTAGTGAGCCCAGCACCATGAACCCCCATCAACACATCACAAGAGTTCACCATCTCTGCAAATTGAGACAGACTTGATGTTGCCTCTGCTACAATTACTTCATATCCCAGGCTTGTAGACATATTGGCTATTTCTCCTATATTTGCAAATGATCGAGTTCTCTTCCTTGATATGATAAGAAGCCTAGGCTGCTTATCTTTAATCCTGCTCACTATTGCTCTCTTCAAGGAGTAGGAGCTCCTTAAGAACTGTGTGAAGTCCATCATGGAGTACCCATCTGGAGATTTTGATGGATCAATGCTGAACTCCTTGTGACACTTGAGACCCACAACCAGATATGGGAAGCAATGGATTTGATGGTCGTCTTTATCCATATTGATGATCTCATATCTAGAGAGCTGGTTCAGTATTACTTGGTACTTGTTCACCCAGGAGGATCTATAATCTGTTACGAGAAACTGAACTTCTCCATGAAACTGGTGGGAAGTTATAAAAAGAGGAATCAGTGTGTCGGTGAACTCATGGAAGTTATTGCCCGTGTATCCTGCTGTGGAGAAAACTATGGCCGGAACTCTGTGATTTAGAGTGCACCGAGGAGCTTCTTCATGGCCGACAAGCGATCTCACCGACAATTTGGTAACGTTTCTCATGGCAACTTCGTCTGTCTTCCTCGCATAAGGTTGGATAGTCCACGATTCATTTCTCCCCACAATACCCATTTGGGATGAAACAGAGAAGATGGTGGAGGAATTCCCAAGGATTCTAACATCTCCGGCGACCTCACAGAAATCCGATCTGGGTTCCGACACATTGCACATTATCTTAGTGTCTTCTATCCTCTCTTTCTCTGCAACTTCACAATGGAGAAGAGAAATCATGGCTCACGTAATGTACAGTTTAAAACTCCAATTTCACCAGAATAGAAGGCACAACAGAATAATATCAACCTTAGTTTAACCCACCTAACTCAATGAGTCAGCTCAATTGGGGTTTGGTTCTTTAATTTTTGGTCATTTATTTTTTATTTTATACACCCCTATAATTTTACGTAATTACCTATAATTTGCCGCATTACTAAAACACCACCTAATTAATTGACCTTTTTAGTTTGTATATATTTTCGTATGGGAATTAATGATCGTGTGACCTTTTAAAACGAGTAGAAAATGTGAGAGGCTATGGGCCCAGGTTTTTTTATTTCGAAAATACCCTTGGCAACTGCTTTATTTTATTAATGATTTTCCATAAGAATTGTTCATATTTTCATTTGGGAATGGTCAAATGGCATGGACCCCAGTTTTTTCTTTTTTTTTTTTGAAAATACTGCCAGAAGTTCTCACATTAAGAAACAAAACCCAGGGCAAAATCAGCATTTCCTAATCCCACCTAAGAAAAACAGTGACAAGCAAAAGTTTTGTCTTGTGAATGATGTCAGCTCACAGGGAACTGGGTCGACTCAGTTGAGTTAATATTCATGCTTAATTATTATTTGCATGGGTGTTAAAAAATTATTACAACCGTTTCCATACCTCTTGGCTGAAACCTGCTCATATCCACAACTGAGAGAACATTTAGACCATCATCCATTGACAGGCGCAATTTAACTGCAGTTGTAGAAGAAATGAAAGTAAGAAAAGCTTTGCGATGCTATCACAAACAGCAATTAATAACCAGTTGATATATACGCTGTGTCCTTCAAATTGGGTTCGTACAACTCAAAAGCTTGGATTTAAATGGGTTTGTATTCGATCGATTATATTTCCATGCGTATATATAATGAGCAAAAACAGAAAATTAGAACTTACAAATTGGTAGAGGACCTATACAAGACTTAAAAACAGTGCAGAGGCTGAAAGCAATGATCAAACATCCAGCCAACGCCCCATATCCCAACTTCTTCTGTTCATACCGGCTGAAGCTTTTAGCAAATATGGCGTTGTATGTCACCTTCTCTACCACCCCAGTAAGTACTCCTGGGTTCTGCTGGAGCGCCAGCTTGTCGAGAAATGCTTTCTCTTTGGACATGGAGAGAGAGAGAGAGAGAGAGTTTACCTTCTTTTCAAGACTCAAGAGCCAAATGTTAAGCTTTAATTAAGTATCTCTATGATATGTACTGTAACTTGGGCTGAGCTGCCTTTGGAGAAGGTGAAGTGTAGTTCAATATTATTGAATGCTCTCCCCATTAATTGCTTAAATTTGTTTGTTTTGTATGTAGTTTGATAAAATAGGTTGAAAATGATTGATGATTGACCACTAATCCAGCCATCTATTTGTTTCTTCATTTCTGTTTTTTCTTTTACTATTAGTGATATTTCTTGTAATCGGGTATGATATCCTCTCAGAGCTTGAAAGGGATCGGCCAACTAGATACAAAGGAGAATTTGAAATTATTGCTTCAGTAATTATCATATTATAATACCTTTAGGTAACGAAACATACATGATAGTGGACTGTTGGGGACAAGACACTTGAAAAGAGCTACGTCTGTTCTTAACTCAATCAGCAAATAACGCCATTTTTTTCTGTGGTAATTCTTCTACTCCAAATCTGGCTTAAAAATTAGCCAGATCATGATATGGGTGTTGGGTTTTCGATTTCGGGTTCTCAAATCTCAACCCCTCCAAGAGAACCGGCATGTAATATCAACATATAAAGCTGTCAATCGGTTGGGTTTACCCATTCGAACCAAACCGATCAAATCAATTATGTCACTTCTGGTTTTGTGGTTTGTGTCCAAATTAATAATTGGATCGGAATTTAACTCCTGTTTTTTTTTTTTTTTTAATTTTTGTTATGCTTCATCAATGTCTAAAAGAGTGAATTCATGGACAGTATATAATAAAAGCATTTGTTTTATCAACATATAAAAAGTTTATTATTTTACGTCATTTTTATTAAAATTATATTATAATAAAATGAAGTTCTAAATTGTTATTATCAAGGGTAATCATAAATGTCAAATATGTAATCTGGATCAGACGCGATTGTCCTGATTGGTAATTGGTTCAATTGTGATTCTGTCTTATAAATTAAAACCGATTAATAATCGGTTCAGGACTGGTCCACCCTGTCCCAACCCATTGAAAGCTCTACCTACAGAGCTACCTTGAGCCGGATATATCAATGATAGGATGCCGATCATAACCTCATTTCTTAGTGGACTATCCACACAGTTGAGTTGTGGTCTCCAAACAAGTTGTTGGTCGACCTTGACATCCTAACAATAGTCACGCCCTCTCCTTCAGCTTTTCTGCTTTTGTGTGGTGGGTTGAATTATGGAAGAAGACAATTTTCTCTTTGAATATTCTCTTCTTACTTTGTTAGGGCCTTAGTTTATGCTTTTAAATAACGTAGTGGTTCTAATTGTTAATGGAGGTTTCATCAATACTCAGATTCCCTATTTTTTCTAATGAGATTTGACATCATTTTATTGATTGATGCTCTCTTTCATGGAATTAATAAATCCAAATGATGGAAGCATCTCACCAAAACCTTTGACCTTATTTGGCAAAATTATAGACCCTCCAACTACAAAACATCATTAATGCATTGAAACCCTGCTTTCTTAATTACATATCTTGCCGATTGCCATGAGAATAAAGTTAAGTAAGCAGTCATGTAAATTACTAACTGGCCTAGAGAGGTTCATGCAGACCAATGAGAGCTTGACGTAAATGTCTATTTGATCAAATGATTAGTCATTGTTTGAGAGTTTGGACAATTTCTGATCCTCCTTTTAGGCTATTTTTGTTTGCATTCAATTTCATTCGTACCGGTACAAATGTATGGAAGTGCAAATGGGTTCATTTTCATTTTGGGTTTTATTTTATATTTTTTTGCCCGGCTATATTTTACTTTATTTTCACTCCAAACAAACAAAACAAAGTAAACATAATTATCATGATGTAAGACTTATCTCAACCATGTGGGTCAGTTATATGAGTTCTGTTTCATTATACTATTATATTTAGTGCCTTATCTATTGTTAAATTATGAACGTTTAAATCATTTTTTACTACTTCAACCCATGTATTTTTTTTGAGAAAATTCTTCATCAATACTTGTACTTTGGCTCGAGTGAAAATTTGGTCCCCAAACTTTAAAATGTGATAATTCAGTATCCGAACTTTCAAAATGTGACAATCCAATACCTTCTGTTAATCAGTTCGTTAATCGGCCGTTAAGTGACATTTGAAAAATAGAAAATGCCCTAAGAATGTCATCTAATTCTCTTTATCAACTATCCAAACATTGACAATAAAATGAGCAGTCCCAAATTCTAGATTTTCTAAACAATCACCAACTTTTTTAAATAGAAGAGGTTAGGATTTGGGACTTCCGTTTTTTGTCAACGTTTGGATGGTTGATAAAGAGATTAGATGGCATTCGAAGGGCATTTTTGACTTTTCAAATGTCACTTAACGGCTGATTAACGACAGGTACTGGATTGTCACATTTGGAATGTTCGAGTACTAGATTGTCACATTTTGAAAGTTCAAATACTGGATTGTCGCATTTTAAAGTTCAGGGACCAAATTGCCACTCGAGCCAAAGTATAGGGTATTGATCGGGAATTTTCCCTTTTTTTTTGCCCCTACCCTTTATGCAAAATACAAAGTAAGACCTATAACAATAAAACAAAGTTTGGATTTTTTTTTTTTTTGTGTTTTTACTGTTCCATAGTTTTCAAGGAAAAAGCATTTATACTACTTCACCTTAATGAGGCTTTGATTTAATTAAGAGGGGAAGAAAATTATTTCACTGAATTCTTCCAAAGTTCCAACTATATTTCCACCCTTCTAACCACAAAACTATTGTTTTTAACCCTTTTTTACATTGAAAGAAAATGAATTTCCATACTTTTGAACCATGAAATTGCATTGCAAACAAATGAAGCCTTAAGAGCCTTTCCAGCCACAACCCTTTAAATCACAGGCGAAAAACCCAAGCAATAAGTGAGTTGATGCATTGTACATGGAGAGAAGGAATTTGGAGCGTTTTTTTAATTGCAATTGTTTTAGGTTCCTTTTGTGTGAGATAGGGTTCAATGCTTACAAGACTGTGCTCACACTATTCGTACAGCCTTTTACTGTACATTGGGAATATCTCCATATTTGTATGCTTTTTTTCATGGAGAGATATTCCCAATACAAGGCTGAGGGACTGTGTGAGCACGATCTTGTGAGCACTGAAGCTGATTTCCTTTTGTATGTTTTTACTATTCCAATTTTTAAGAAAAAAGCATTTATTTTACCTTATGCTGTGTTTGGAAATGATGCAAATAAGTGCGGATGCAAATATGTAGAGTGTAAAATGGTTCATATAAATTCCAAAGTTGGGTTAGTTTTGCACTGACAAATTTACCTTCTTACCAAACAAACTTTTAGCTGTAATGGATGCAAATACAAATTCCAATAAAACATATGCTTTTTTTTTATCAAAAGCCCATTTGAATGCAAATTTACTTCTTTTTTATTGATGTACTTTTACATTTTATTATCAATGTAAATATGCATTGGAAAATGTGTTTTCTGTCATTTGTCAATGCATAAATGTAATGTTGCCAAACACAAGGAAAAGTGAACCAGAGTGTAAATTTACCCTGAATCGGGATTTACACTCCATTTGCATCATTTCTAAACACAGCCTTATGTACAATAAATGAGGCTTTGATTTAATTAAGAGGGGTAGAAAATTATTTCACTGAATACTTCCAACTATATTTCCACCCTCCTAACCACAAAACTATTGTTTTTAACCCTTTTTACATTGAAAGCAAACACACATATGTCATTAGGCTTGTGGAGAACGATATAGTGGATTTGTCATTGCCCTTAACTAGTAAAACCAATAATGCTCCCAAGGTGAGAAAGGAAAAGAGAAAATTAGTAAAGAGTGTAATTTTGTTTTGAGGATTACTTTATTTTGCTTCAGGTCTTATATTATCTTATTTGTACTGCAATCAAACAAAATAAGATAAAATTTGAAACAAAAATAAATCAAAATTCACACTCAAATCATATGCACTACGGCACTACCATAGTTTGCATCAGTGCAAATAAATTTACACTGCAACTAAACGCAACTTAAAGGAATATAACATCAAGTCAATTGCGGGAGAAAAAGTGCTGAAATCCAGAAGTTCAGTGGGTCTTCATCACAAAGAAAAGGGGGCAAAATGTCACTACCCCATAAATCACGAAAAACAACATTAGCTAGTGATGCATAAAGATTAGGCTATGTTTGGTTTGAAGGAAAAGGTAGGGAAAGGAAGGAAAGGTAGGAAAACCTTTACAAGCGTATAGGTTTCCCTGTCTTTCCCTTCCTTTCTCTACCTTTTCCTTCAAACCAAACATAGCCTTAATTTAAAGAATGGAATGGACCTTTTTTGGGGGATGGTCGCCCTGAATAACCATGTAAGCAGCTTTTTGTGTTTATTGCTTGTTTGTTGGCTTCGCAGCGGTCTTATTTGCTTTTTAAAGATTTGAGTGATGAACATGCAGGGCTCACAAAGTTTACTCGTGCAACTCCCACTCTCTGTGTCATCAAACCCCCTTTTCTTCCCCTGTTTTTCTTTTCAAATGTTACAGTGATGTTGCAGAAAACTTAGATAAAAATTGATGACTTTTGGTTCAAGCCCTGAAGCATGAAGTCAGATGGGTAATAGAGGACCAAGACCAACCATTAAATGGGTCCTACTTCATAGATTATATAGACCCACAGATTAACAATTAAATGTGGTTATTTTGACAGTGGAGAATAATTTATTACAATCTCTAAAACTTAAATGCTAATCAGATGGCCAAAAACAATCAAACTATGCTGATTTAGGCACATATCCAATCTCCTAAATAGGGCCCATTAAATGGTTGTTGTTGTTCTTCTTCTTTTTCTTCTTTCCTGCAATTAAATGATTGTTCTTGATGATTCTATTATATTGCTCAATATCTTAGCTTGTAGATCCAGCTAAAAGCCTAAAACCTTCGCATTTAAGTTTGGACCTTTTGCAATGTTATTATTTTTTGGGGGGTATGCCGCTATGGCAGAGTGATTAGTCGGTGTTCTGACCTGACAAAACTGCAACAAAAATTAATGGTGCAACCCAAGGGCCTGGGTCCAGTCTCAAAGGGTATATATAACTCGGGTGGGCTTGGATTGAACATTATTTTAAATTTGAAGGGGTTAAGTACCGAGGGATCCCAGTCTCAAAGCACGATATGAAAAGTTGCAGAAGTTGGGCCTTTGGGGTAAGCAGTTCCATTTCCACATTAGAGTTTTTTTTTTTGGGTACGCATTTCTACATTGAGTTGGAAAATCCAGTTTGATGGGGTCTCTCTCTCTCTCTCTCTGTGCCGCTATTTTGCAATAACCCTATTTAGAAAGCTTGTAATATTTTTGAAACAATAGCATTTTAGTGTAAATGCATTACAAACCTTATCAGGGTGTTTTTAACTTTTAAGTCATCTAGCATATCTATACAACAAATACGTCCACTCATCAAAGATGCGCAATAGGGTTGTTTTCTCAAGTATGTATCATGATAGTTCATTACTTCTATTGTAAAAACAAAGACAGTTGCTCATCATCTGATGATTCAAGTGGTTCTGTATCAACCTTCTGTACATACATGGGCTTCTTGTGATATACAAACAGCTATGAACTACATTAAGGCTGCATTTGGCATTCCTTCTTTTAAGAACTTATCTCCTTTTGGAAGTTAAAAATTCAGTGTTCATAGGAACACTTTAAGTTTTAACTGCGACTGGAAAAGGAGATAAGTCCTTAAAATAAGGAATGCCAAATGCAGCCTTAATATTCATATTAAACACAACATGGGTAATCCATTAATTACTTGAAACTAAGAATTGACTAATGTATCCCAACACAATATTTCATGAAACAATAGTAACGCAGTGTAATCTGCAAAGACAGCATCAACTTCATATACAAGTCCAGTAACTTGAATTAGAAAAAATAAAATATAAAATAAGAAACAATGCATCTACTCTAGCCGTGTCTTCCATCTTTCATCTTCTATTTACCTTTTCCTAAAGATGTTTTAGCCAGTCCACTTGCAAATCAGGAGACATGGCTAGGAATATCTCCCTCAAATACTCATCTCTGAATGGTTTGAACGTTGCCATCACCTGTTCTATCCCAATCCCATTACGCACGTAAATCTCATTAACAACTTCCATGCACCTAGTAACAGAAGTATCCCTCTTCTTAGATTGCATTTGTTGCCTAGCCTCCATTATTTCTTCAATTTTCAGATTATACAACTTTAACTTGCTCTTGTTCAACTCTGTCCATGTTTGCAAGGCATAAAATATTATATTGGAAGAGTGCTCAGTTTTCTTTATGATTTGACAATCACTGGATAGTGGAGTATCATGGTTTGACTGGGCAGTTGATTCACTTTGTGTGTCATCTGGTGTCCAACTATCCCATAGATCTTGTGCCTCTGAAACATGTTCCAGCTCCTTGTTCCCAAATGCCATCTCTCCAGCTGCACTTGTCTCTGAGAAAATAAAATCTAACTCCTCTAAATGTGGGCATCCCTTTTTCCTCATTTGTTCGACCCAACTGTACTTCTGCATTTGAGAAATAGCATTTCAATTGATGTAAAATGAAGCGCAATGCATCTAAAAATATTTTAGAAAACTTACCAAATAGAGGTGATCCCAGACACACTCATTTGCTGTTATCCTCTTTGTTTGAGGATCTACTGTGACTCCTGTATGATTAGTAAGGGAGTAGTAGTTGTTGTGCATCTTTTTTAACTGATGATACTTATTTTCGAACTGCTCTTTGTTGTAGGCTTTTTTGTTGATTTTGTTAAAGTTCTCCATGATAAAATTCCATCCGTTAGTGTCAAAGGAAGAAGTGGGCCTGTTATTTGCCTTTACTTGTTGGACCATCAAATCAATAAAACACTTCTCCTCAGCATCCGTCCATGTGGTGATCTCATTTTGCCTACTGTCATCATTAACTTGTATAGGTTGGGATTCCATCCTGTATATGGGAGACAGCTTCATGTATGATATTTTTGGACATGAACCTTAAGATCATAAACCTCATGGCCCTCAAGACCACTAGCCCAGCTACTTGACAACCACACAAATAAAACATATTCTGAGAGATGGAACAAATCTAACCAAAAAACAAAAAGAGCAAATAACAATTGTTGACATTCCAATAATCTAGTCCATAACTGCCACACCATCTGGCCCTACTGCCCAACCACTGAAAAAATGGCTTCATCCAAGTAATAAAAAGAAATAGTAAACAAGAATGCACAATTCAATAATATGATCCACCATGCATATCACATCCAGCACAATTCAATATTATGCCAGAGGAGTTTAAGTAAATAGCAATGTTATAAAAAACTTGAAAATTAAGCTTTTTATCTGAACATCATGACACCAAACCTAGGAAGTACATATTCACATAAACAAAACTAGGACCCTAACCAAACTAAAACTGATATCCACTGCACTTTACCATGCTCTTAAAAAAATAAAATTTAGAATCCATGCAGTCTATGATGTCTGTGCTAGAACCAGTAGCTGTTCTCCCATCTTTAGACCACCATTGTTGGCTAGGGAAATTTATGAATGCATTTCTCTTTTCAGAAGCTCTATTCTGCCCGTCTTTGAGAATTGGAAGGACGAATTGGCTTGAAAAGAGGACTGCGATCGTGGTTTCATTTTTGTTTCTTTTACATGGTTCCTGCTAGGGTAGTTTCTGCTTCAATGGATACAAACTGAGACAATGGGTGTTGATCAGTTGGTCAGTTATATCTTCAAAAAGGAGTAGCTTGTCATAGGATGAAGACTGTGGTCGCATAACAAGGATCTGAAACTCCCCTGTAGTTTTGTATGGCTAGTGCACTCAATGGCTATAAGTAGGGTATGTAGAGGCTGGTTTCTTTGTTTCACCTGTTAGATGCCCAAGTTTTCCTCTTCCTCCAATAGCCATTCTAGCAAGCAAATTGAGCCCATTCCAAGTAATTTATTCCATCAAGCCTTACGGTAGTGATTTGATTGCTGTTAGCTTCTCCCATACCTCCAAGACCCTTTCTTGTAATCATCTCCATATGACTCCACAATTCACAAAAAAAAATTTCACAAGTAAAATACCCAAAAACAATAGTCACTAAATGCAAACAAAGCAAATCCATTCTCTACATCTTATCCTAAAGCCTCCTACAGGGTAAAAATAGCCTTGGAGAAGAGGGTGAACACCCAATCGATCTCTCCAAAGTCAAATATAACCCACCTACTAGTGATTGATCTCAACAAGAGATAAGAAGTAATCAACCAAAAGGCACTTGACCAATCCAAGCTAGCCATAAATAGCAAAACCCCAACTAAACCTCCTTCCAGCCTAGGAAAAAAGAGAGAACACCAGGTCAATCTCTCTCAATGTTTTAAAAGATGTGGGAGGCATATGCAAGGCACCATCAAAATGCCCCGAGGCACATGTTGGGGCATTGATGCCTCTGAGGTGTATGCCTCAGGTGCATGAGGCATATGCCTCACATGCCTTCTACAAGAAGCAAATACCTCATACAAGAAAAACAATATGACTCCTCCTCCTCCTCCTTCCTCTTGAGAAAGCTTATGCCTCCTTGTGCTTTGGAGGCTTGTGCCTCTTGTGTTCTGAACTACACCTCACAACAACAATAGTCAATCTCCAAAATAGGTTGTAACAAATGTGAAAACCCTAGGCGTTGCACCACACACAATATGTGAAAAACACCTTTAAGAAAAAAACTGACTTGCTTCTTTCTCTCATGTTTCCACCTTTGGGCAGAACTCCAAGACTACTCCTTAGAAAGCAATCAAAACTCCAAAAGCTTTAAAAACCAGGCCGAACAAAAAATCAAACCCACCCTCTACTTATCTCATGCAGCTGGCTGGTCTAGGTCTGCATGAGTCTAATGATAAAGGTTAGAAAACTTGCTCTAATACCAATTAGCTGAATAAAAACAAAAGAAAAGATCTGTACTTGGTTACAACAGTAGAAAAACAGAAGAGAAGAGAGGAGGGAAAAGAATGTAGAGAAAGGCCAAAAGTGTTGCAACTGCCTCCTTCTTTGGTATTTATACTGATGAAATAAGATGCAATGACCAAAATACCCTGCTGTCCAATGATGTGATAATAAACATAAGAAACATAATGTTTCTATAATATATAAGATGCAAAATATCATTATCTCAATACTCAATAGTCACATGAAAATAGAACTAGTTCAAAACATGGTTTCCTAATACATCTAGGCTGTCATATGAAACTTCATCCATCATGAGATTAAATAACTATGATCTTATAATGGGACTGACAAGTCAACCTCAGATTCCTGGTAGGATTGTATGGAGGTTCCACAAGAATGATTCATGATTAGTTGGATCCAAACAAAAATATTACCAATTTCAGGTCTAATCTAACAGACCATGACTCATGGAACTTGTAAAATATAAGTGCAGAATAGCCTCCAGTTTTTAGCTTGTTCATAATCTTAGGCCAAGGAGTGCTGGATTAGACCTGCTAACATGACAAGGGCAAACAGATACTTGACAATATCAATTCTAAAAGTCGAGTAACAACTGAACACCCCAATTGTTGAGCTTGCCTTGCACAGTCTATTCCAAGAAAGGATAAAGGCTGAATGCTTCTATAAAAATATTTGCCAAAACCCTTAAGAAGATGAGTTGGAAATAATGCTTTGTTAAGTTGAACTGTATTTGCGGCTTCTCATAGCTCTTACAATTTAGAAATTTCCAATTCAAATTGAATTTCATTATTCTCACTTCTCTTTGCTTAAAGAACTTATAAATTACATTTCAAGTGGTGACGTTTATACATAAAAGCCCACCCCACGCAGTTGGGTCATATATTTGTTGAGTTGAGTTGAGTAGATGCCTATACATAAGTGCATATACACAAAAAAAGGGATGTCAAGGCTTTATCCTTCACAATTTAAATATCAATAATTAGAACAGAAATGGCTTCAACACCCACAGTTGCATCGGGCAAACGGTTGGTGCACATTACCTAGCAGGTAATCGAATGAAAGAAAATATTTGAAGCCTGCATGAAAGGTAACGCAAACAGAACAATGAAGAACATAGGAAAAAAATTGTGAGACAACGCAAGAGTTGATTGTTACAGAACAATGAAGAATGCAAAAGGGAAGGAAACAAAGTCCACCGGTATGCGATTAGTGCTGTAAAGCATCCAAAACCAAGAAGACTGATCAATATAGACAAAACAGTCATCCACTCATTATACCAAAAAAATAGCTATTACATTACATCCAACAAGAGTGATTAATACGTACTTCGAGAGGAGGAGGAGAAATCAAAGTTTCTGCTATGAGTCTTGTGGTTCCGGCGGTCGGATTAAGGGGCAAGTGGTCGTTGCAAGACAGCGCAAGAGCTTCTGAGTTCTGAGGCGGCTCGACAATAAAGAAGACAGGACTTGTCTCAAGGGTTTTGTGAAGTCCAAAGTCTGAAACAATGGTGTGGTTCCAGAACCATAAACACACATTCCCGAACGCAAAATCATAGTTCTTTCTTTGTGTTTCAGAACGTACCAAGCCAACAGAACAACCCTATAATGAGCGGGAAATGGACTAAATAATTTGTACACGTGTTCTCTTACGGTACTCCCCAGTCGGAAGATTATACTATTTTAGCCACGTGGCAAGATAGTCTCTCGATAGCATTCTCTCCCTGTCCGTGTCTCTACATGCCATTTCGACGGTTGATATCTCATTTGATATGGGAAGCATCAAGCACGCCGACGCCGACTATAATATCTCATCTGCCATCTGCGCCTCAATAACTGCTGCTTTAGCCGTCTGAATTCGAGATGGAAAAGATGTAGTTCTCTGCAAATCAACAAGGGAAGAGCTGGGTTTGTGAAGGAGAAGTAGCAGACGATGCAGTTGGGTGGTGTTGGTTCAGCTCTTGAGGAAAGGCCAAGTATTTATTTTCCTGAAATTCACTCAAGTTATACTGCCATAATCACAGTATTTTATCGTTTTGGATGATTTTGTTGAGTTGCTGACATGCTTTTTCCATTTTATGAAATTCACTCAAGTTAAACTGTCATAACCCTAAAATTTCCATTTGGTGTTGTTTGTTCCATCACTATCTCATTATCATAATCAATTTACCTTTTACGTTGTTCTTTGGGCTGTTATCCCTTGATGCCTCTGTAGATAGATGCAAGTGTTGATTGGACATGGACTCCTTGGCTGTAATATTCTTTTATATTTAATTGGTTACTATAAGTCTGGTATTTTTTCCTTTCTTTTCCTTTTAATTTTCTCTCAAAGAGGATGGATGGTGTAGGCTGTGTAGCTCTTGCTGCAGTTTTTTGGTAGGCAGTAAGCTTTAGCATTCTTGTGACCATGCTCATGAGTCAACTCTTTGATGTTCTGTACCCAACCACAATATAGTAATATCCTATTCTACTTGCGCGAAAGAGATCTAAATATCAACACTGGAGAAAGCCACATATTTTTTGCAACCATAGTTGACATGGATTTAACATCAAAGTTAAGTTCTAAACCCTCCAGATCTCATCATCCTTCACTTAGCCACCTATCTCTTAATACCTTTTCAAGTTACAACCCTTTCAGTTAGGGTTGTTAATGGGACAGTTTCTGATCTGCTGTGATCAAATTACCTATTTAGAATATAATGCTTACTATTGTATTATATGTGGATCCATGGCGCATTGAATTTTGAAACCATATTAAAAGGTGGGAGCTGGCAGTGTATGCTTTGATGCATAATCACCCCAGTTCCAAATCTGTTAAGGCGGTGGAGGCTTGTTATCCAAGAATCTTTGGTTCTCTATTAGGAACTTAGATATCAGAAGATTGTTATGGTTTATTTTTTTGATGGATGAAGATTGTTGTGGTTGAAGGCACCCTGAACACTGTAAAGCCTATGATACAGCCTTCAAGAAAAGCTTCCTGGGACTAATCTTTTTTTATTTCAAATTCAATATCAATAGCCTGGGTTCATCTCAGATTCCATCATCAACAAAGTTTCCTTTTGTTTGCTGAGGGGGAAAAAGAAAAGAAAAAAGAAAAGGAAGAATATTTAGACCTAATTAAACAGATTTTGGATAGGTTTTGGATCAATCATCTAAGCTTCACCATTCAGAATATTTGAACCTACAGATCCTGGCTACAAACAGAAGCTTCAGTCAATAATGTAAAACCTGTGAATTTTACAAATCTGAAGAATTCAATTTATAACCTCTATGTCCAAGATTTCTAACATTATACAGTAAAAATTGGCTCTTGATAATGCACAATGGCAGGCAGTATTCATGTAGCTGACCGCAAACAGTTGGGGTTAAGGCCGAGTTTAGTTCAGTTGAGTATCCCAAAGATTTTGTACACCACAAACCATCAATTGGATGATACGGCTATATGGAATAGCTAAACTCCTATCATCTAGGAGTAGGTTTGTGGCAATGGGTGATGTCAGGTTGGAAATACACAACAATCTGAACTTCCTAGAAAACAGGCCTACTGTGAACCAGAAAATATCAGACAACTTAGAGTAGGAACTTTTTCCCAACCAAAAACCCCATCAGCATATGTGCTCTATCTGATCCAAATTGATTCTTTTGGCGATTGGTGGATATGGTCAAGAATTGCCACCAACTACCTGCAAAAGGCATTGAAACAACATTACCAATATAATTTTAGGTGCAAATGTAGATACTAAACTAATCCCAGTAGCCTGATCTCAAGGCATAACACTAAAAGATCAGAAGTTCACATGCCATTTACCAATATATTTGGCTCATAAATGGTAGTTAAACAAATTACAGTAATTATTTATGGAGAAAGGCCAACTGTCTCATATGCTTAAGTGACAACAGTTGGGTATCATCAAAACTTCTTATTTGCATCAATACAATCTTTGTTGATTCTCAAATAGCCTATCCCTGGCCTTGAGTGCCTGCAGAATCAATACAAAACAATTCAAAATTACATAGATAGCTATAGGTTAACCTATATGATCATAAAACTACAAGGGTGGATTAACAACCTGCTTTTTCCAGTTTGTACAGCTTGTTATGAGAGCAAGAAGGGCTGATTGCAAAGTAGACCCAGTCAGTATTCCAATCCAGAGGCCTTCTCCTCTTAAATGTATGTAGAAACCTAATAGAGCTGCTACTGGAATTCCAACAAGGTAGAAAGCCCCCAAGTTTATGATGGCCCCTATGTGTTGCCACCCACATCCTCTAGCCACACCTACAAATTTTAAGAAGGAACTGTTAATATCATAAGCAAAACAAAAAGGATATAGAAAGATAGGAGTCAACCTGAGAGAACTCCTTGTAGGCTGTCCATGATAACTGTGAGGCAAAACAGAGGTGCCATTTTTGTGACATAATTCACTACTTCCTTCTCATTGCTGTAGGCATAACCCAAAATATATCGGCCTGCAAAGAGGGCTGTGCTTACTATAACCGCCTCTGTCACTGAAAGAAGCATCACAACATAGACAGCAACTTGGGCTGCCTGTGGGTTTCCAGCTCCCAGTTCATTTGAAACTCGAGTGCTACAGATTCAATGATATTTTCTTTCATCAATAAGTATGCATCTCTGTCATATATGAATGTCATACATATTCACATGGCGTGCACACATACGCAATCAGCAGTTCCATCATATATGCACATCATTATTACATCCATCACATGCACGATACAATCTTTATATTATAGTATATACAAAATCATTATATGCATATTCATCAACTTCTGCATCTAACCTATCAAAAAAAATTCTGCATCTATTCACATACATAATTTCATGCATGAGAAGGCAGATTTGGGTCAAACCTTGCAGCAGCACCTATGCCATATGGTATGGTATAGAGCAATGAGGTGGTAGTGAGGCTGTTCACAAAAATTAAAAGTATGTTAGGTCACTTCCATCTATAAAAAGTACCAAAAAGAAAAAAGGAAAATCCACTGCTCCATAAAAAACAAAAAAAAAAAATTAAAGTTTTAAGATTGAAGTCCCATTCTTATTTCACATCCAGAAGGCTTCAAGGTTATGAAAATGAAGTACTGAAAATAACCATGCCATATGGAAGCTGATAAAAAAACATACCATATAGAAAGGACTGAAGTTTCAAGTTCTGGATTTGATAAGAGCCCAGACAACAAGATAAGCACCTCAAATGACCACCAATCAAGACTAGAATCAATGAAAGGAAAATAAAGAAATCAGAAGAAGAAACTATAAGAGAGGAGGAAAGTACAAGAACAGACAGTCCTTTCCCCTTTTTTTGAAGAAAATTGTGAAGAGAAGTACCAGATCATTACAGCTGAAGAGATTGCCAATCGGAAGAACTGGCTGACACCTTGAAGCGCCTCCATTGACAGTGGTACTCTAGTTTTATCACAAGATGAGGAGTACTTCATGTACAACCCAAGGAAGATGACATTAAACCAATATGATAGACTGATTGCTAATGCAGCTCCGCAGTTTCCTAATCCTGACTTTAGTACCAACACCCAACAAAGGGGAATATGAAGAAGTAGGCTTGTACAGGAACTCAGGAGCAGGGGAAATATCAAACTCTGAGACTGAAAGTATCTAATCAATGGTTGAAGGGTTGCATAAGCAAACAATGCAGGTATGAGCCAGATAGCAAATTTCCCAGCTTCAATTGATATTGAAGGGTCTTGGCCTATCAAAGGCAGTAGTTTTCCCATTGAAATCCATACAAGAGCAATGGGGAAACAGACCAAGTTGAGGGAAATTATGGCTCCATAAGTTTGAACTCCAAGCTGTCGATATTGTTGTGCTCCATAGGCTTGCCCACATAGAGTTTCTAGTGCACTTGCCATTCCTAGCTGCTCGTCAAGTGGAAAACTGTCAAACCGTTAATCACTCAAACAACTGGGCCTTGACTCACCAAAGTTCCAAGTATACTCTGCAACTTAATGAGTCAATTGATTTGATCAATAGTAGGTCTTGTACTCTTATCCTATTGAGAAGGCAATTCATTTTGTCAACATCGAAGTCAAACTGAATCTGCATCATAAAATGACAACAGACCACTGACCCTTGTGAGGATTAACCAGAACAGGCTTATATTATTGTTGGTGCATGGATTAAGGATCTTTCAATGCTTGCATTTGGGTCACCTAGGATGAGTTCTGAGTGAACTTAGTTTGTGTTTGGCATGCTTTCAGGGAATTAATTATGATGAATAAAGTGGTTCTAAGAATCCTTTTTAAGTTTGGATATATGAGAATTTCTGGAAATAATTATTCTTTTGGGCTCAAAACTCATTCTTCAAATAGTGATTCTTTGGAGTAGAGTTTTAACAAAAAATAAATGTCGTCTTCCCATTAATATTCATAATTAGAAGTCCATTAGAACACCTATTAATAAATTTTCTAAGGAATATCTTGAAATTGATCTTCTGATAAATGGGTTCTGATTTATATAAGAAAACTCACTCACAATCAGACTAAATCCAGTAACACCGGCAAGGGAAGTGGCGATGGCGGTACTAGACAAAGAGAGTTCGCCGAGGTGTCCAACCATCATTACAGAGATGACTTGTTGCAGGTATTCTGAAATGGTCACTACCACCATAGGCCCAGCTATGTAACCAACATTCTTTACTTCCTCTGCAAAAACACCCCATCTCAGTGCCTCCTTTTCGTCTCCTCTGTTCTTCAACAACAGACCTTCTTCCATATTTCTCTCTCTCACACACACTCAGTGTCAAATCCTGGTATACTTTGGTTTGCTAATAATCTATCTAACAATGGAGTCCTGTTCTTATAAGGAATATACTGTGGCTGGCGGGAAATGCCCGTTGTGATAACTACGCGGTGGGCCTGGTCCATGGACTTGTCACGTTATCCCCCGTGGATTTTGTACTTTTCTATTTGGGCCGGCTTAACAACCCACGACGGAAAGCTGATGAGATGGGGTGTTAGAGGAGGCCCTCTGCAATGCCACTGGGCACTAACATCATATGATGGGCTACTTTATAGTGAATACGACAATATAGGAAGCAGTTTTAAACCTCTAAGGCCCACAGTAAGATAATAAGAAATTAGACGAGAAAAAGGATGTGATGCTCACGGTTCGGTTAATTTTTGAAACCGTGGGCTAATTTTTGAAACCGAATCGGGGTTAGAAAAATCAAACCAAAGTCGATCGGTTCCGTTAATCATCAGTTCGGTTTGTTGGTTTTTCAGTTTTTTATCATTTACAATATTTATTATAGAAAAATATATAAATATATAATAAAATACTATAAATATATATAATATTATATTTTAAATAATAAATAATATATTGTATATTATAAATATATATTTATATAATGCATATTTATTAATTTATAATGTATAAAAAATATAAATATACATAAAATATATATAAATGTATGTATATCAGTCGGTTCAGTTAACCGTCGGTTTTCTATTTTAGTTAACCAAAACCGGTATCTTCAGTTTTTTTAAATATTGAACTGAAACCGAACTGACCTGTTTAATTAACTGAATTTTCGATTTAATTTCGATCGGTTTGCTTTTTTGGTGTTTTTGCTTACCCTTAGATGCTGGTGAGTATCAGATGTCACCTGAAAAAAATAGTTTATACAACCATGGCATTACAAATGGTGGGCTAAAAGGTCTCCACATGCACCAATCTCCACCATCTATTTGCTGTGCTGGTTCTAGTTCAGCAGTGACCAAATCATAAACATAAAAATGGAAACTGGATCAAGGCAATTTGGGTGGCATTTGTCAAAATGGTCATTTTTTAAGTATTAATTTTTTTATTTAAAGCAGGATGCATTTTTACAATCTGAAAACAAAATGGAAATCCTTTCCTCTTTATTGTCCATTTTCATTAGGGCCATTTGATAACGACTTAAATTGCTGAATTAAATGACTTATTTTTTTGTCTTTTAGTGGATAAATAAACTAATAATAAAATATTTAAAGATATGGTAATCGACCCAACTTTAGACTCCGACATTCAGATCCCAACGCCTTAAAAAACTAATTTATTCAAAGACAAAACGATAACCATTTCAGTTCGGCCACTTCAGTCGTTTTCAAATGACTTAGCAATCTATAAGCAAAATATAAAAAGATTTGGGATCAAATCTCGCCTGCATCTGGGTTGGGGGATGGGTTACCCGTTGTGTACCCCTTCAAAAGGGGGTGGAATATTAAGAATTAAGATGGTAATTTATTTCTTTTTTTTTTTTTAAGGATCAATCCAAAGCACCAATTTATCAAATCAGATGGTAATTTGTTTCTTTAAGTATGAAAAATTCCTTTCCCAAAATTTATCTACCGATCTCCAAAGTTTGAAATCAAGACAATAATGGCAAATGAGTATCTGCATTTTGTGGAAATTAGTTGTCAATAGGAACAATGGAGAATACGTCCTTAGTGGAAAGCGCATATGGAATGGGCCCAGACATTTGATTAGGTAAAGCATAGTTGAAATATATTGCTTGAAAAAGGAAACCACTAACATGGAATTCTTAACTTTCTCCGAGTGTCCACTGAATTACACTAACAAGTTGTAGGTTTTGGGTATAGTAAATAAAGAAAAGTGTCACTAGGCGTCTGCATATTCTTTTTCATTTGTCCCTTGCGTCTGGAAAGTAGCAATTCTGCCATTCTGTGGGTTGGGTTTGTTTTTTGATTTCATGGTACCCAGACCAGTTCAGTACAATATATACGATAATTTAGAAAATAGTCTTGAGTTGTTTTAAAAAATGGCCCAGAATCGGAACCGTTCTGACCACTTGTTTTTGGGTTGACAGTTTGATCATCTAGTTCAAATGGATGATCTGTTCTGATAAAAAATATATAAAAAAAAAACAGTTAAAAACTGTTGAATGGATTGACGGTTCGACTACACGGGTGAAAGGGTTATTGACCGATTCAACGGTTTTTGGCCAATGACCAAGTTTGAGGTAAAATAGAACCAGTTGCCTGCACGTTTCCCAGGCCAAACGGTCTGACCGTCCAGATCAACAGTGGTTGGAAAACCATGGTTTGAACCAGTCAATGTGGTTGACCAAAACAGATCAACTCTGAAATGCCTGAACATTTTATTTCAACTCATCCTTACATCATCACCATAACTCAATGTAGTAAGATTATGGTTAAAAAGTAGTACTATAAGTTTACAATTGAATTGGAAACCAAAATGACAAGAAGTTGCAGACTAGTTTATCAGTAATCCCTCCTCAAAGATCCTCCCTCTTGCCTTGTCTGTCTGCAATATTGATGCAGATCAACCCAACCATTAAACATACAACAATTTGAACAAAATATGAAGAAACTCATAATAAGCTACAAGTGATGGACTACTGACCTGCTTTTGCCAGTTTGTGAAAATAGTAATGAGAGATAGAAGAACTGATTGTGAAGTAGACCCAGTCACTATTCCAATCCAGAGGCCCTTTCCTCTTAAATGTGTGCAGAAACCCAATACAGAGGCTATTGGAATCCCAACAAGATAGAAAGCTCCAAGGTTGACATAGGCTCCAATGTGCTGCCATCCACATCCTCTAGCAACACCTGAAAATGTGATAAGATCTAAAATGATATGCAAATTAAACTAGAATGGATCTCTAAGCCTTCTCAGGCTATCTGATGTAGCGCGATCTGGTCACTCCTAGCTGGCAGGGGCTTCGCTCCTATCTGGCAACGGACAACACCTGAGAAGGAGAAGATGAAGGATTCCCGATGAGCTTGCCCGGCGGAAACACTCTGATGCTTAAGATAGAACTTCGAGAGAGAAGCTTAGAGAGTAATGACGAGCTAACAGTGGAGATGCACACTACTCGATTACCAAAAATTCAATTACCTTTTTCCTTGGGGGTCGGAGCCCTTATATATTAATGCGCTGCCAAATCGGGTGTAACTGCCTATGATTCTCTGCTACAGCCGTTATTCGTCAGGCTGATTTGATTGGCGCAGGTATACGTCGCAGGGTACGGTCCTGTCACTTGAGAGACGTTATGCAGAGCTGTCGTGCACGACGCCGCCTGACGAGAGAAATGGGCGCAGTCCTCTAGACTGGCAGGTGCTGCGCCGCCAGACAAGAGACGTGGGAGCAATTTAACAAGCACGGTCTTGTCGAATAAGAAGTTTCCCGAAGGCTCCGGGTTACTCAGTAGCGAGCTCCTTTGTAGCGAGCTCCCTTGTAGAGAACTCTTTCGTAGCAAGCTCCAATAGCGAACTGCCTTGCAGCAAGCTGTGCTGTAGCGGGCTGTAGCGAGCTGTCTTATAGCGAGTTGTTCTGCTGGGGTTTCAGCGAGTTCATTACGCCGAGTTGTGGCCAAGCCGTCATGCCGAGCTGTCACTTACGCTGAGTCATGTCCACGTGTCACCTGGTTAGGAGGTCGGGTCAAATCACCCTCCATCAATTGCCCCCCACTCCACGGGCTAAGGGTCTTACCCTAGCGCGGGGAGTTCATGAAGTGACGGGTGGATTTAACCCGTAATTAAACTAGGTTGATTGTTCGCATGATGTATATGCACGGGTGTCAAACAATTTCTGGATTTTTTGGGCGCCAAAAAACGTGCCAAACTGCATTCAATTTGGGAAGACGTGCAGCCGTCTTTACTTCAGTTTCGGAGGACGTGCGGCCGGCGTTACTGTAGGCCATCGGATCTGCTTTGATCGAGACTGTTGGTTTTTCTGGCACAACGGCTATAAATAGGAGGGCCCCAGGCCTCATTTTCTTTACGCCAACTTGCCTCGCATTTTGTTTTGAGGTCGCGCCTTCACCTTGTTTGCTCGAGCTCTCCCTGTTTTCGTCGCTTTCTCAATCCACTTTTCTGGTGAGTCCTCTATTCTGTCCAAGCAATGTCTGGATATCCGTACTATAGTGGCTTTTCTCGAGACAGTAATCAGGGTGAGGTCCCCTCGAGCTCGGGTGGGAGCTTGGGGGTTCCCTGAAGGGCAGGCTCCGGAAGTCTGTGAGGCCTCCGGTAACGCAGCTTCCACTTCCCAGGGTCGGGAGCCTGATAGTTTCGGCCTTTCCTCCATGTCAATGGAGAGGCTTCGGGCCCTAGTCTCTTACTACAACCTCCCCAGGGATCTCATCTACAGCCTCCCATCCAGTAACTATCCCTGGGAACACGGCCATGACGAAATCGTGGTCTTTGAGGAGCAGCTCGTGGCTGGTCTCCGACTCCCTCTACATCCTCTGATAGTGGAGGTTCTTACCCATTTCAACGTCACCATAGACCAACTCCATCCGAACTCAATCCGGAATGTGGTAGGGACGATTTCTTTGTTTTTCGAGTATTGTCTTCCTCTTTCTCTTGACATCTTTGCCACCATCTTGTCCATTAAGAATGCCTCCCCAAGAGCCCCTCCAGAAAGGCGCTCTTATTACTTTTCCCCCCGTCCTGGCTTCAAGCTCCTCCATGACTTGCCAAACAGGATCCCAGCTTGGAAGCGGGGTTATTTTGTAGTTCGCAACCCCGAGGGGTGGCCCTTTCCGACCCACTAGAGGGCCGCCATTCAGGATCCAGGCGTTGAGCTGGACCCAAAAGTTCGGGAAACTTGCAGTCTTGGGCGGGGGTAGGCTTTCTCTGTTGGGACTACTTGGCTGAGGACAAGCTCGTGTAGGCCAGCTTGAGCCCCGGTAGGTCACCCTTAGGTCGTTTTTTTTTTTAGCTGGACTAATGCCTTGTGATTCTTGCAGCCGACATGTCTGGTGTGGATGCGCGTCGCCTTTTGTCGAGCAACCAGAAGCGCAGGGTGAAGAGGTCGCGCCCTGACCAGACGTCCACTTCTGGGGCCGCCGAGTTTGAGGCTGTAGACCCTGCTTTTGTTCCGCCGCCGGAGGTCCCGCCTGTGTCCTTTGAGGGAGTAGCCGCGGGAGGCGGCGAAGAAGAAGAAGAAGAGGTCCCACCTCAGAAGTAGTACCCTTCAGCCGCGGTCCGGCCCCACCGTGTTCCCACGGTTTCCTACCGAGGGAAGGGACGAAAGCGTCACCAACTACCTCGTGGCCTCGTGGAGGAGCCGACGGGCAATCACTCATGATGAGGTCGCGAGCTGGGCCGGGATGCACCATAGGGAGCTCGCCAAGCTGGCCTCGGCTCACTACATGGTGGTAAGTGCCTGCTTCTTCCCTTTTTCTCCCTCCCTTCTCTTTTCTTTCTCCCCCCTTACTTACTTCGGCTTTCTATTGGCAGTTGAACTCCGCCATCCACGCCATGGCCTGTCAAACTGCTATCCACTCCCAGGACGCCGTCAATCAGAGGTCGAACGTGCAGAGCCTCCAACGTGAGCTCGACCGGGCCCGGGAGGAATTCCTCCAAGCTCAGAAGGGGAGCAAGGCCCAGGAGCTGCTCGTTTGGGACCAGGAAGCACGGATCTCTCGTCTGTCTGAGGAGAGCGCCCGTTACAGGGAGGAGTCTTCGAGGGTGGCGGCGGAGAGGAAGCTTCTTCGCCAACAGGTCCAGAGCTTGGAGTCCACGCTCCATGAGAGGACCTGCAACTTCGACGCCGCAGTGGAGGCAGAGCGTGCTAAGGCGGTGGAGGACTTCAAAAAGTCCCAACAGTTCCACGACCTCCAGGTCGAATATGGCTCTAAGTCCTACCGCTCGGGGTTCAAGCTTTGCCAGTGGCTGGTCCGGAAGAACTTCTCTGGCCTCAACCTTGAGGGCGTAACAATGAGAGACCTGGCCCCAGAGACGGCGGACGCGGCGGAGGAGGAGGAGCCCGACTCCCTAGA